AAGGTTTTCACGCATCCCCTATTTTTTTGGTCTCACCACCACACCACGAAAGCAGAGCCTGGCGCAAACACCAGCAAGGCATGGTAGAGAATTTTACTCCACGTATTTCTTTTTTCCCGAGGAAACTTGACCACTAAATTGCATCACTCCCGAAATGCACGAGTGAAAAGTTCAAGAAATGTCTTATAAATTAAACTTACAAGATGAATATCACCATCTAAGCACTTATATTAGCAGATTTCAAGTCACATCAGCTGGTTACAAAATTTGGCGATAAAAGTACAAGTCTTTATATATTTATTTAGCTACTTTTGTTTTTCTTGGTATCATACGTGTCATACCACTTTATTCTTCCTTCCTTTTAGATTGTCTTTAGAGGTACCATCTGCTGCTTAAAATTTTGACCGATTTCTCTACAAGACTCTCCAACTGCAAACTTGTACGTATTTTATACATAAATTGCATTAATTCGCCACCCGCCTAAACATGTTTGATATGCACCCAAGCGTGAACAACTTACAGGAAATGAAGGAGACAATTTGAAGCACGGAACTTATTTTTACCGCCATTTTTGCCCTCTTAAACCTCCGGTTAACTGTCTTCTTGGTTCATGGCGGTGCTCAATAATGATAAATACAAACCTTTCGAGTGTCTGACTCACCAGGCTGCCTGGCAAGGCATTAGCATTAGAATAAATGCTGCCATATAGAGCCTTGGGACGGACCTGACACAGCTAAAACAGAAGTGTTTGATAGCGAAATTCTGCCCTCTGGAGATGTTTACCATGCACACCTCTTACTTGTTTCGCATTTTAATCTCGAAGGTTGGTGGGCATGATTGATAGTTATATTTGGGGAGTGATTCGGATGACTGTCTGTCAGCAGACCATGCAAAAGGTACTGAACCTTTGTTGTTGGGGGAGCAGGAAGAAGCCAGTAAGTCTCCTGTGGACCAAGTAGTTGCTTACCTTACCTACTTTCAACACATGATTGGTAACCAGAGTTAGCCGTTTTGTGTTTTAATGCATCGAGTTTTGCGATAAGACAAATAATGATGCCACAAGGCACACAATGGGCTTATTTTGTTCCATATTCTTGGTTATTTGCCCCAAATGTCTTAAAGTGTTCTCTTATGGCTGCTTTAACCACATGTTTTCTATAGTTGTCATGGTTTGCTGACCGGCAAATGACTGTACTGTGTAAGTACACTATATTTTTAACACAGAGATACTCTAAGCTGCATAGCAATTATAACATGAGTTAAATATTGGTATGTAGCAAATAGTCAGACCATCCCATTTAAAACGCGAAGCCAACATATCAAACTTTGTCACTAAATATGAATAAACAAGCCCAAATGGATGCATTTGCTGCAGCTGAAAAGGCAAGCAGCAATACTGGCATGGTCATCTAAAAGTTGTGTTATTTTTGGAGAAGAGAGATTGTTTTGTGGAGCATACCCATTATTGCCCTTGACAGAGGTTAACCATGACAATCAAAATAAGTTGTTCAAAGTGATTTAAAGTGTTTTGATTTGTGTGTTGTCAACTTTTTCTCATGTCAACAAGCATACAAAAATGAACTGAATAAAAATGCAAGTTGGAACCAGTCAAAAACTAGCTTTAACTATCATGTTTTTGTCACAAGTGCTGTTGTCAACCGATAGGTGAGTTGAGATTATGTTCATCATATGGGCTACTCTAAGTTAGGTTAAGTTGGTCAGGTGCATGGCAAGTGGCAATAGGAATTGTGCAAAAATCAGTAACTCACAACTGCTGCTGTGATACAAACAGGTTATACAGGATAAGATGATGTAAGGCCTCTTTAGGTTAGGCATAGGCTACTTTCATAGAAATAAGCATTAGTATTTTGTAAGGAACAGTCACAAAATGTTTGTTTTCCCTGACCCCATCTTAACAGAAGCCAGAGGTATGTCTATTGTGTTCGACTTGGTGATGGGCTGATATGTAGGAGTCCAAGGTTTTTTGGTTTGAGTGTTTTATGCTTGTTGAATTTTCTGTTGTTATTTTGTTATTGAATTCCTTTGCTTTGTTTTGTTTGAAAAGTGCTGTGGAAGGGGATTGAAAAGTGCAGCATCAAATTATTGGTGCTAATAATTTGTTATACTCATAATACTGTTATGAAATTACTATGCTTGAACACGCTCCCGGTTTGCCGGCTAGATACCCTTCGCTCAGGTGGGGGGGGGGGGGGATTTGACCCCCTCTGAGATCTCGGGAACTAAGAAAGCTAGAGATACCAAATTTACAGGGTGTCTTGACCTATACGTGAACTCACTTAGGTCAAGATTTCAGCTTCCTAGGTCATGATCTTCAGGTCGAATAAGGTCAAACAAGGTCAAATTCTAGGTTGGTCTCCAAAGCGCCCCCAGAACCTAGGCAACTGTCTCTAAGGAAAAGTTCACAAGCCCATTTGAGGCCATCGGCCCCAGCGCCCCCGACTGCTAGAAGCGCTCGGCAGCGAGGGTTCGCGCTGGCCGGCGCCTCCACATGATGTGCGTCATGAGTACGACAAATCGAGGCTTTCGGGCGTCCAGAGAGTCCATCTACGGCGGGAAAATAAAAATAAACGGTAGCATAGCGATGACAGCATCAGCATAGTGGTACCGGGTAGGGTTCCGGGTCGGGGTCATGTCCGAAACTTGAGAGTTAGATATTACCCTCAATTTCAAACCTGATATTGGAAACACACGCATGTAGTCATGACAGAAATGTCTAACTCGATTACATAACGTTGCCCACATTCTCGCACCAAAGTCCACCAAATGGACATGAAACAGCCCACATGCACAGCACTGTCTGATGCTTAAAGGGAATGTTCCACATTTTAAGATAATGGAGCATCGGATATGATGAAATAACCTAACTTATAACCATTAGTATACTTTAAGTCGAAAAGAATGCTCTAGACAACACAATGCCTCTTTTTAGTACATATGCTGTTCAACACATCATTGATTGCGTCATCATACGCTGCACAACATTGAGAGCAAGCTGACGGCCGTCATGTCTGGAAATCCTATTCACGTGCGCCAGATATGAACAATTCGGCAATCATAATTTTCTCGACTTTGATCGCCGCATGGCCAATGGTATGGCGGAATTTAACTTGCGTTATCTTGTCGCCAGGGATGCTTGGGTGGCCTTGAAATAGTCTTCATGAAATAGTTCACACATCTTCGCTGACGTGCATCCAGGTAGCAAGATTGGGCTAGGTTTTAAGAATGGTGGGGCTGTGAACTGCACCAAATGACCTTTAAGGTGACTTTTTCAGTTTAAAACCCCATCAAATTTATGGAAGATTCCCTCTAATGTGTAACGACATTTCACTAAATACTGCCTTTACAGCAATCCACTCAAGGTGCAAACCAAAACAACATTGCAGACTTGTCATGTTATGCCAGCAATTCCAAGATGTCATATATAGCCAGAACAATAGGATTGAAATCTGAAGCTATCAGACATATGTCATGCAATGCTAAGAAATAAGCAGAGAACATTTGCAACATTAGTCTTTCAACTTAAAGGGAGTGTTCAACATTTCTATGGAGTTTTGAACTGAAATAGCCATCTTGATCGCCTTTCGGTGTTGTTCACAATTCTGCCTGTGTTAAGACCTAAGCCCCTATAGCTTCTGAGCTATACGCCCCCGAAAATGGGGAAAAGTATGTCGAGAGAGCATTTCAAAGTCACCTTAGCATTCATGATGTTACAATAACGTCATTCAAATCCTGCCATTGCATAAGCCATGCGGCGATTAAGGCAAATGAAATATTTTTGTGGAGGCGTTCATATCTAGCGTTCGTGAGCGCAATTTTCGGATATAACAGCCGTCAATTGCTTTTCTATTAACTTGCACCCGGGGGTGGGGGGAAGGGGGGGGGGGGGCGGCGGCGGCGGCGGCGGCGGCGGCGGCGGTGGCGGCGGCTAGATACCCTTCGCTCGGGTGGGGGGGTCAATTTGACCCCCTGAGATCTCGGGAACTAGGAGAGCTAGCGACACCAAATTCACAGGGTGTGTTAAACTGTGTGTAGTCTTACTTAGGTTAAAATCTTGAGGTTCCTAGGTCATGACCTCCGGATCAAACAAGGTCAAACAAGGTCAAATTCCAGGTTGGTCTCCAAAGTGCCCCCAGAGCCTAGATAACTGTTTCTAAGCAAAATGTCATGTGCTCATTAAGGTCAGTGTCCTTTTTTGCCTTTTGAAGGTCACGGTGACCAAAGTCATACAAGACTGCCCTGAGTTTTGCATCTGAGTAAGCAACAAAGATTACGCTAGGCAGTTTATCTCGAAAACATAATGTCGACCCGGGTCATTTTAAGTCAATGACCTGTTCTGACCCGTAAGAAGTCCGTGGAAGATGTGTAATACGGTTCCTACTATCAATAAATTCGAAATGAGCACCAAAAGCTATCCCATACTGCAAGCCCTAGAGTAATAAAACAGGTTGGTGTTGAACTTGGTCTGACCTTTACACCTGACCCTAGGTCAACGTAGGCTGCTTGTTCAATATTTGTGCTGTCTAAGAAAGCATCTCAGAGATACGCGGCCCGCCCCGACCATACCGGCACGTCGTCTAACACTCCGTTGCTGCATCATGTTGAAAGATTCCCTAGAAATTGCCTTCGCTGAAGCCATGACCTGGCTTTGACCTGCCATAGATCAGCGACCTTACAAGGTACATTTAAATTTTTGATGCCAAACGATCCGCTGTTTAATTGTGTATAATATTCGAAATTTGGCCCGGCTATGCCGCGCCTTTCGGAAACCATTTTGTATAAACCTTCGGGGGGTCGATACTTCGGGGGGTCGGGGGGTATCCCCCCTCCCACCCGAGCGCGTGGAAGCTTGGCGGCACCGTGGCCTATGTGTGCTGCGGCAGGTCACTGAGTGGCGCGATGCTCCGGAACAAGTTGCGTAAGCCAAAGTCGCAGCTGCTGTTCTGCCGGATGGCGGACCATACCGGCATGTAGTGGCCGACCACGCACTGGACGAAGTCCTTGAGAGCGTCGCTGGAGGCCTCGGTAGAGATGTAAACTAGACGCAGGCGAGCGACTATTTTCAACCATCTAAAAACAAAGGCGAATATATTAGAACAATTCGCTACGTATTGAGCACGAGAACAAAACAATTATCGTGCCTCTTTATTGTATGTAATTATGCCGATATCCAGGGTCCTTAAATGTGGCGGAATGCATATCAACAAATATACTAGTAGGCATCAACCAACGAGCAAATCATATGACATACTACGGCACAGACATGATAATAAGTAAATGCCCACCAGTGAGCACATGAAATTTCAATGGATACTTGATGAACTTTAAACACTCATTGCTATAAATTCGCAGATTATGCATTTTCATATTTACCTGACATGGCTCGATGGTCCGATTCGCCGCTGGGCTGCCACATATCGGACAGAGCCGTTTTGAATGCCGGAAGCCGGAAGGTACAGCAATTGCTGGTTGGTGCTCAGATGCTTGATCGGGTCGACCGGCAGGTTTGGCACGTGTCCTGGCATAGGCTTGAATGCCACAACGTCCCTCTCCTATACCTCTCCGGCGCAGGTCTAGCCGACTGGTCCAGAAAAAAACTCGATCCGGTGGTCGTGCCGTCCAAGCTCAGCAGCAGATGGAGAGGGTTCAGCGCGTTGCCGCGCAGCGGGCAGATGAACCAGTGCGCGAGTGACTCGATGGCCAGCTCAAACGGCCGGAACACGTCGTCTATCGTCTCGATGTTAACGGCCGTGCCACCGCAGCCGAGCAGATTGATGTGATCGTCGCACTGCGGGCTCACGGAGTGTAGCTCGTTGAGCAAGTGCAGGGCGCGGCTGAACTCGGACGTAAAATGGGTCACGTAACGGCTGCCTGTCTCAGTGATGGCAACCGCGTGTTTTTCGACGGTTTTTTTCGCCTTGCTCCGTGGGGCTCATGTAGCTCCTGTCTTCGCGGCCGTCGGAGTAGAGGATGGTCAAACCTGACTCGTGGACTGCTGCAGCATTTTGCCGAGCTGTTTGCTTTCTCGCTCTGTCCATTGCGCAGCAAATCTTCTTAAGATCAACTATATCTGATTCCAAGAAGCCAGTCCGCCTCTGCTGTCTTGTTGAAAGACGCTGATGATGGCAGCAGCGCCGCCTGGTTCGAGCCACCGTAGCTGTTACCGCCAGAGCGGTGCTAGTCAGATCGTTCACGTTACAACCCACAAGGACAGTGGTTCCAACCGGAACGAACAATCGGTGTCGTCGCCACCTTCTACCATGTACGGAACCGCGTAGAAATTCGTGCTCTCAGCTGTCACCTAGAAAACCTGACCTCTTAAAAGAAAAACTGCTTTCACCTCACGAATATCAACATTGGCACTGTGCAACGGGCCTGAAAGTTTATTATTCATACGTGTGCCAAGGAAAAACCTTGTCTCGGTTAATTCCGAGATGTTTGCCCGCTCGATGACACACCTTAATAAACGGTGCATAAGTATATGCATACGATCTATATTTTTAATTAGACTGACAGCACACTTGCTACCAATATGCTTGTTAGTCTTGACCTTGCGCACAAATCCTCATCCTTTTATCGGTGGACCGCCTCAGGCATTTTGCTGTACAGCAGAGAAGTGGGATTGAGGAGGAATGCGCAGTCGCAAGCACAACGTTTTCGTGTTTTAAATAAATGCTTCGTATTTTATTTCACCAAAAGAAACGAGAGCGAAGACCTGACGTTGCCTCCCTCTGGCTGCTCACAAGTTATGCCATCGACGGCAACAGAATAAGAAAGCTGACGTCTGCGTCAAGGTGCCTTTGATTCATGATAAACTTCTTTTTTTATTCAACCGCGACGGTATTCCTCTTGAGCGTAGTGTCCGTGAGGCGAGTGTCTTCATACTTCATCGTGACCATTTCAATATCAATAGTGTGGTTCGTGGATGGAATGGCCTTGCCCGATGAATTATTTAAAACACGGAAGTATCAAGAAAAAACTTTAGTAAAAAAGGACCACCATGACTTGACCGCAATGACCTTGGAAAGTGGAATCGCCGGCGCTTCTGCTGGCAGTGTGCGTCATTTGACCGAGTGCATCGTCGGCAGAAAATAAGTGCGTTCCGAATAGGCAGAATGGAGGAAACTCTCCAGCAGAATCATGATACCCAAATAGGAACGCTTAGTACAACATGCGTCTGTCATAACTCTCTTATTACCCAGAATAACGTTAAATGTGCGGCTGATGATTCTGTGCGTTTCACACAAGTGGCAGGGCGCTTTAGTAACTATATTTGCTTCGCCGGTGAGCATAGCTTGTTAGGACAGCTCGCCCGAACAAGGGAGCAAAATGGGTAAGATATCCGGACAACACGTCCAAACAAATATGGGTAACAAGCGCACCTGTGTGAACCTGGGTCATGGCTGACTGGGTTTTGGTGTCGGTCGCCACTTGCTCAGTTTCCGCGGCACCATGTATGCCTCATAGCAGAAGATTGGTTTTCCTTGTTCAGTACAGCTCTCCATGGCACATAATTAATACATTGTGCTGTTAAAGAAGTGAATTTACGATCAGCGCTCCGTATAGGCTGCTCGCCAGCTTGTGCATGATAACGGGCAAGGAAAGCTCTACCTTGGTGGGGAGGGTAGCTATTTTTGTCACTTCTTTCCAGCCAAGACCCACGGGCCCCTGTTACAATTCAAAAAATGTATGGCTCATCCCCTCGCCAGTAGCCGCGCTTCTGCGTCCGTGTATTCAATTTTACGCTGATTTAAATTTAACAGCTTCGCCAAATATCGGTTTGGAAACCACATGCTCATGCTTGCCATTTAATTCCACCTGATCGGTTCGCTGATATATGCACCTTCCAGTTGTCATCTACTTGTTACTGGTATGAGGGTAGCCCAATATTCAGACTGCACATCTTCAATCGTCCGCGCCTACTCGTTTCCGCTTTTACAGCTGACTGCACTTTAACCGCCAGGCATACACACTTGCGACCAACACATGGCCGTACTCCTCTTTGCGCGTTACACGTTTGGCCGCCTGGTTATATTCACCTACCCCCAAAAATATTTTCATTTTCTGTAGGAAGGCAGTTTGGTACCCCAGCCGCCCATCTCTGCAGAAGCTCTCGCACAGGGCTTTCAATTTCCGCGCCGATTTCGTCGTGATGGTCGACTGCATAAGCTCGCAGAGCACGTGGCCATATTTGCCGTTAAATTCTGCGCGATTGGCTGTTAGTCCAAAGCACCTACCGTCCACAGTTTGTCCATTATCTGTACGAGGATTTCCGATGTTTCGGCTGCCCCGCAGCGTTTCGCCCCATGACTACCGGCCGCGCCACGTTGAGGTCTCGGCATCAGTGACGTCACTGTCCTGTTCGAAGCGTAAACGGAATTAAGATTGGGAATGAAATGACTTAAAAATAGCGCCATAACTAAATATGGAAATGCAAGTAAACGATATAAAATCATCACGTTTTAAACCCACAGGACCGAGACATGGGGGCTTAAAAAGCCTGCATGGCTTTTATGTTTTTTTTCTGACAAAGTTGCGGGAACTGGCGGGCATTAACACGCGCTCGATTAGGGGAAGGGGGTCAAAATTCCCCCCTCCCCCCCCCGGAGGTTTTTTCCAGCATGATTTCCATACGGCGCGGTACAGCTGTGCCAAATTTTGCTCAGCTGTAGACAGTTGAATATCGGATCGCTTGGCATCAAAAATTTTAATGTACCTGGTAAGGTTGCTGACCTATGGCAGGTAAAAAGTCAGGTCATGGTTTCAGCGAAGCCAATTTCTAGGGAATCGTTCAATCTGATGCAGCAACGGAGTGTTTGACGAAGCCATACATCTCTGAGATGCTTTCTTAGGCACCATCAATATTAAATGAGCAAATTGCGTTGACCCAAGGTCAGGTAAAAATGTCAGACCAAGGTCAAAACCAGCCTGTTTTTTTACTCTAGGCCTTGCAGTATGGGATAGCTTCTGGTGCTCATTTCGAATTAACTGATAGCAGGAACTGCATTATGCATTTTCCATGGACTTCTAGAGGTCAGAATAGGTCATTGACCTAAAATGACCCTGGTGAGCATTTTGTTTTTAATGCTGACTAACGTAATATTTGTCGCTCATTTAAATGCAAAACTCAGAGTAGCTTGTATGATTTGGTTATTATGACCTTTAAAAAGTTAAACAAGGTCACTGGCCTTAACTGAGCATGTGAAATTTTGCTTAGAAACAGTTATCTAGGTTCTGGGGCACTTTGGAGACAAACCTTAAAGTTGAACTTATTTGGCCTCATCTGACCCGGAGGTCATGACCTAAGAACATCAAATTTTGACCTAAGGTGAGTTCACGTCCAGGTCAACACACCCCGTGAATTTGGTGTTTTTAGCTCTCTTAGTTCCCGAGATCTCACGGGGGTCAAACTGACCCCCCACCCGAGCGAAGGTTATCTAGCCACCTGGGCGCGTGCTTAAAAGCAAGAACTAGTTACTTGCAACACAAATGCACAATCAATTATTCACTGGTTAAGTGCAATAACTACTCATAAAAAGAGTTCGGCAAGTTTTGCCGAACATGTGACAGCAAAGACGCAACATAAGAAGTTCAAGTTTTCCCGATGCGAAGCATCCTTTAATCGATTAATATGCTATGACACATTCAATAACATTGTCAGCAAAATAATTTGGATTAAGTACTGTACCACTAATGTTTATAATTAAGCTATACCACAAACGTTCCAAGCGGTTGAAATCCCGCAGCTTACAGCGCTGGGTGGCGCTGTCAATGTCATCTTTGCCTCTTGCACGCGAGAAAGACGTGACTCCCGCCGTCGATGCCACCAGTGGCTCTACACGGTGGCCTTGCTTTGCTGAGGATCTGTTATAACCGTCCTCCTGCCGTCTAACGTCGTGTGTACCAGGCGCGCCGCGCCGTTGTCAGTCCGACCCGCCCCCGTGTTCGATGACGCTGGCTCTCCTCGTGCTGTCTCCTTGCCGACACCGGACTCCGCCCGACGTCTCCCTCCGCATCTCCCCAACAACGCCGGCCTGCCTTCGTAAAATGCAGCTTCATGGCGTTCCCTGCCTCCCATGTCACCTGTCCTAAGACAGCGTGCTCGTGGCTAACGCCTGCCGGCCGGCTTTGTAGACTTGTGTCGTTGCAGCGGACCACAAGTCGCCCGGGCTGCGCTTATCTTTATGGCCCGGGTTGTTGAGAAGTCCGCTCCAGCTTGATCCTTCTGTATGGTGCCGTTTGGATGTACATGCCGACTTGTTTGGATATATGTCTGCACTAGGGTGGCGGTCTCACTATGTTGTCCAGGCTGAAGTGCACGCTGCTTTTAAAGTTCCTGCTAGTTGTGGTGAAGTCATCTGCTGTGCTAAAGCGCACATCTCCATTTTTTCTCTCTCTCCTCTCTCTCTCTCTCTCTCTCTCCTCTCTCTCCTCTCTCGTCTCGCTCTCTCTCTCTCTCATCTCTCTCCCTCTCTCTCTCTCTCTCTCTCTCCCTCTCTCTCATCTCTCTCTCTCTCTCTCTCCTCCTCTCTCCTCTATCTCTCGCTCTCTCTCTCTCTCTCTCTCTCTCTCTTCCCCTCTATACATTTTACATTAAAAAACATACATGGCAATATTGATATCCAGTAGTCAGGCAGTCAAGTAGATGGACCGATTCATTATGTGCTGAAGAGCTTAACCCCATCTTAATTCATCGTGTACGATCCTCGTGCTTAGAAGGGCGTCCACGTCTCGACTGGAGTGAAGGTGGACGTAGATGTACCGGCTCAAACTGAATTTCAGGTAGGAAGAGCCAGTGAGCTGTATTTTGCAACCCTGCAACTAAATGACAGCAGTCCGGCTTAAACGAAGCTGGGGTGACATGTTCCCCTAACCTCGCCCCACCACAGGTTAGCACGATGTACGTAATAGTGACACCTAAAGTCAGGAGTGTAATTCCGCCAAGCCAGTTGCGGGATGTGACAGGCAAAAATCACTATGCCTTTCCACAGATGAACCAAGTTTATTGAAGGTGAGACTGAATATGGGGCTGAAGAAAAGTGAGGATCAGCAGCAGAAGCGGGTCCTCTCCTGCCTGCTGGGGTGCCTGTGCTAGTAGCTAACTCTATGATAGGCTAGATATAACCAGAGGTAGTACGGTGATGGCCGTGTTAACGCAGGCTATTTCATCAATATAAATAGGTTTTAAAGTGATGTTAAAGTTCGAGGTATTAGAACTCCGCGCCAAACTGACACTTAATCATGTATGTACATTTTTACCTAAATTTAGAAGAGACAGACACGTCTTATCTACGATCGCTCCAGACGCGCGGCGTACCTTCGGCAACGTAAGTTGCTGCATCCCAGATGGAGAGGGCCAGATTGCTGGCACATGGAGTACAGCTAGATTTCAAACAATTCTACATTGCGAAAGCGTCAGTAGTATTGCGCAGGTTTGATCGAACCAAAAGCAAGTTATCCAGCTGTGAAGATATTAATAGCGTCATTTTTACTGCTGTCTTACCTTGACAAATTAGCCCGCTAAGGCTCGACCGTATCTAGAAGAACTGTGGACTAGCAATCATAAACTCCCATGTGTAGAACTTACACACTGATCTGTGAGAGATACGGAGATTCGAGGTTTGATAAGCAGACCGGCTTATTTCGTTGCATAAATACCATCCTTCTGAGACATTCTTTTTTATTCCCATTTTATCGAAGCGAATTCCGTCCTTAGCTCAGCGGTCAGAGTAAATGAATGTGTGGTGGGCGATGCGCAGTTTATTACGACGCCGAGGTCCATCCGACTATGCGGTCGTCTCGCTAAATCGCTCTCACTAAGATTCAACGGAATCTTTGATACAACTGATAAATGACACACAATGTCCTCATGCCCACTCGGAGGGTGCTACATTCAGTGCAGGGTTATCCTTGCCATTGTTCCCTTGCTCCGTGTCACCCACGTGAAGTGGTGCTTCCGCTACCTTCTCTACTTTTTGAAACAGGTGCTGAATGCGCTCCAGCGAAAGGCCTTTCGTCTCGGGTAAGCAGAATGTGGCATAGACCACTTGCAGGCCACTCACTGCCATATGCAAGAGGAAGACGCCACCGAAACCGATCAGCTCCGTCAGCGGCGAGAACGTCTTGACGAACATGAACAGCATGGTGTTCATCATGCCCATAAGGATGTTCGCGCAGAAGGTTCGCGTGCGGTTCGGCAGGAGTTCGTTAACGTAGGTGAGCGCGATGGGGGCGATAATGCATGCAAAAGAATACTGCGTGAGTGTCGCGCCGACCAGCACGACCCAGCCCAGTGTTTGCTGCAGCGCCTCGGGCAAGTAGAAGAAGACGGCAATTGTGGCGCATCCCAGCCCGGAGAGCGAGCCGCTGACGCGCAGCAGTGGCAAACGGCCGAAACGCTCGATGACGAAGCTGGTCGGGACGGAAAAGATGGCGGCCACGGCAAGCGGCAGCATTGCGCTTTGGTAGTCGTTGAGCGGCAGGTTCACCGGCTGCAGGATGTACGAGGTGATGTAGTTGATGCCGATGCCACCACTCCAGATAAATATGACGAGCTGACCGAATGCCAGCAGGAGCGGCATGAGCGTCTCCCGTTGGAGGATGAGCTTCCAAAGCGGCAAGGAAACACCGTCGACGTCCATATGCCGCAGCGAGTCCTGTATGTTGCGAACCTCCGAGTCAGCGTCAGCTTCCGTCCCATGGAAGAAGCGAATTGCACGCAGGGCCTCCTCCTCCGAGTGTCCGTGCGAGAGCAGCCACTTGGGCGAGTTGTGAATGAAGTACAGGCCAGCGAGACAAATGCCGGCAGGCAAGAACCCGGCGCCGATGTGGAATGTCGTCCAGTGCACGTATTGTGCAATAAGGAGTCCGATCGCCTGGCTGGCGAACACCATCGTGTTCAGAATAGCTGTGTAAAGCGTGCGCCTGTTCGGCGGCACGATTTCGGACACGTAGCCTCGCACGGTGGTCTCTGACATGCCAAGCATGATGAACATCACCAGTCGGCCGAGCAGCACCAGCGGGAAGCTCTGGCCCAGCGCGACCACCAGAGAAGCCAGCGCGTAGAGCGGCTGCGAGAACATCAGCAGGCGTCGGGCGCCCAGCACAGGCGCGACGGGCATGGCGAGCATGCAGCCGGCCATGGCGCCCAGCGGGCAGGAGGCGATCGCCCAGTTGAGCTGGTTGTCGGCCATGAAGCGGTTCGTGTCCTGGGGCACCTGAACCACCAGGATGCTGTGCAGGGCGACGTTGAGGCCCATGCCCGTCAGGACCTGCCCGGTAATCAGGGTGGCCAGCAGCTGCGAAAAGAAGAGCCCCTTGAGTTTTACCATCTCTTTCGTGCATGCTAGATTTTTTAGTGCCAACGATTGAATCCAGAATATCATGAGTGATGAAGAACGAGCGTAACCATGATGTACCATCAAGACCAGAAGGCAATTTTTAAGGAGACTGTTTTGCATTTGTATGAGGTTTTGCGCTGAAATAGCCATCTTGGAAATCACTCGGTGCAGTTCACAGCCGTGCCATTCTCAAGGTCTAAAACTCCTACTTTCTGAGCTACACGCCCGCAAAGATGTGTGGGCTATTTCATGCAGACCAAGTTTCAGTCACGAGTCACGTTTTGTGCTGCATTATATAAAAGTTGGACACGGGTGCTAGTGGTTACGGAAATAAGGCTTGCAATGAATTAACTTCAAAACAGCATCATTACCGAGTATGTGAATATAAGCAAACACCTTAAACGCGCAGATAAATGTTAAGAGCACTACGAGAAAGGGCCAAAACACTATAAAAGCACGATACTGTTTGGTTCAGCAACACCTCGAGCACCGCCACGGCCACATCTCGAAATTTAAGTACCACAAGTGAGTGATGGGGTGGCAATTTCGCACGGTCAGTTTGGCAGCATTTCGGCCAAGGCTTTCCAATGTAATTGTCCGCGTCACTCAGGTGCTCCTAGTTTCTGAGATCTTAAAGAGGATCCTGAGGGCGACGAGCGGAGAGTAAAGGTGAATAATGCTACCGTACTGCGAGGGTTCATCTTAGCGTTTAATGTTTGAGCACAAAGGATCGCCTCTCTGTCATTACGCGTGCCAAACGATCCGATCATTTTATATTTGTCAGTTATCTTTAGGCTATAATGTGGTCATAATTTTCCCCCGTGATCTCCATATTTTCTGAACTACTTCGATTCTGAACAGAATTCCTTTGATATCTGCTGTTAACCTCTTGGCTCAGGCGGAGAGGGGAGATATATTTCCTTTACACGCACACAACCCCCCCCCCCCCCAATCCCTCTGCTACGTTCCTGTATTTAGGCATCTGCGGATATTGATGTGCAAGGGTGTCGCTTTACATGGGCACTGACCGTCGGCCAGTTGTTTGACTTTTTCTCTTCCTGCTTAGCTGCTTTGGAGGCCTCTTCCTGTTTCTTCTCCATTTTCAGCATCCCTGGCAGCTGTCGGTGGTGATCGTCGCCAACAGCGCTAAGAGCCGCACGGTCCGCTGTCGGTGGTGGTCGCGAAAAGCGCCATGAACCGCAAGGCCATGTCTTTTCTAGCCCGTGAACAGAGGCGTGTCCAGGGGAAAACAGACATAAAATGGTCAAGTAGCATATGTGTATTCCAACGCAAACGCTGTTGCACGTCTGTGCGTCCTCTCTTGTGGCTGGATTTTACGCAGGCCCAACAAAGTACAATGCTGCGTGCGCCTCTGGTTGGGAAACTTTTCGTGACTGGACCTAATGCGCGTGGGTAACCGTGACGGTGCGTTCCAACCCGGGTGCTGAACCCCCGTCACTGTTGGCCTGATCTGGGTCTGCGCTCGGACAGCGCTGTGTGACATTACATGCTGTTCGATGCGCGCAACATTCAGAGTTCGCATGACGCACGCGTGTTGCGGCGCAACGACAGAAGCAATACCTTCGACCACTTATGTCGCTGGTTGATTGGTGTTCTCGAGACTGACGTGAACGGTACGGCGTGAATAAAACCCTCGTGAGCAGCACAGAAATGAAATATCTTGGAGTTAATTACTGCGCGTATATCGCCACCCCACCCCGCAACCCATCACTGCGCAGCACGTTTGCCGCCGGGTTCTCGGTACCCCACCGTGCCACTCGCTCCACCGAAGCTGGATGGCTGGAGCTGTCAAAATAGCGGCTGGCGTGCTCACAGAGGCGCCTTCGGTACCGACCGTTGTCCTCGTGGAATGGACTGCCGGTCGGTGGGACAAGCGTCGTTCACTGTCCGCCTTTGAGCGTGCCGTGAGAGACGTGAACAGTTGGGCGGAGGTTTGAGATGTGATCTTGTCGCTGATGCACATTCGTACTTGCGTGTCATTTTTGTCTTAGCATGCCTGCAATGTTTGCAGTCGTGTACATTGTGTTTCTAACACTTTTAACAATAATCGCGTACTTGGTTTTGTATTTGACCGTAAAAGTATCATGCGAAAGACTTCCTTTTATTTTTTGACGATATGTACTGGATGCAAATCCGGAAGTCATTCGATGGACAGATTTTAGATCACATACAAGCATACATACGTACAGCGAACGAACCTGGTATTAAATTATATGTCAACAAAACCTACTGTGCTCATACTGTTCGAAGGTATACTGAACACCGATTCTAAAAATCTACAGCAAATAGTGTCTTGGAAGGACGCAGCGCAGCGTCCGCAATAACACATTTTGCTCCATTGTCCCATCTGAGACCAGTTTTCCACTTGATGACGTCATGAGAAGTGGTGGCCGCTTTGCGGAGGCTCTGTGATTGTTCAGAGGTTCAAAGGTCTGGTAAAGTTCTCACCGTACCGTCACTGGTGGCACCTGAAGCCTGCGAAATAGGTTTTTTTCCTTTTCATAAATTCACACCAGTATTTGCTATGCGTGTTGTATATTTTTCACCACAGTTTGATTATAAATCAATGCAGTGTTTTGCAGAAATTTCGTATTACTAAAACGGCGTAGGGTTAACTCTGCTAGCGGCTTTTTTGACGCACCGGAGCGTGCTAGTACGTAACGCATTATCACATAACAAACAAGTGCACGATGTCCTCGTCCTCCGTTTACAATTGTCTGCTGCTGAAAACGATTCGTTGGAGGTTAAGTCTCACTGCAGTCTGGACTATGCAGCTGTTAGTGACTCTGAAGTTCACAGATGTGTTGAAAGCATCAAATGGTGAATGGATGTTTCACGTTACCGCAAACCATGAAGAATTTCAATATTTTGCGAATGTGTTGCATCAGACTAGCTTTCAATAATTCATGGTGTCACAGCAAATTGCAAATTGCAGCTGTGGTAATATTTCGAATAGCAGGGGTTTGATGGGCTTGGGATGTTGTTCTTTAAAATCAGCAATTGCGGGTGGGTAATGTTCGATCTGATGAACAGCCTCAACCAAAAATGAATGCTTAACAGTCTGGTAAGCATTGTGGCTTATGGTGGCCTGGTATGGCTTGGTCATATTAGGCTATAAGTAACCATACTAATTGGGGAACTAACTCATCCTGGTGTGAAGTCACAGCTAGCTTAATCACTGTCTCATTTCGCTCACTTGAAACATTTACGTTCGACGTTGCCACTAACTTTGCATTGGGATTTGTCCTCACATTTACGTTGTCTGCAGATATCTGCCCGGGTCTCAATGTTGGTTGCTGGCTCACACTTCAAACAAGGCCCTAGATCTGTTTTTACTTTTTCATAGCTCTAGATCCCTGATTTTGGGTCGTCCTGTCACAAATACTAGTGCATGGCTCCCGAATCCTAGTTATAATTTGTAAACACCTGGCCTTGGTTCCTGGTTTTCATTTATTTTTCGCAACCTACGATCTGAGTTCTTGGTTACAATTAGTTCCTCACAAACAGCAGACCCTCTTTTCCGGTTTCCATTAATGCACTAAAAAACCTTCGATCCCACATTCTGTTTGTCCCTGGTACATTTGTAACCACCAGAGCTCTGGACAACAACCTCCACCCCATCTCTACTCGCTTCACGCCCACCTGGGCGTGATGTGACTGTGGAGTGAGCGTGGTGAATACGTACTGATTTCTAACAGTAGTTCCAGGTACGGTCCTGGTTTTTGTTGATGCGTTGGACTTTGTGCCGCGTCTTGGTGGCTGCTGGACCCCGTTATTTCCAGATTGGCTGTGGGTCTTTGCGGGATCTTGGGCCGTTTTCCATGATAAATATTTGCTGTTAAATGACTTCAAGCTGAGCCTTGGTTCTTGCTAGCTTCCTCTGCATGTTTCAGCCCGAGTATTGGTTCTTGCTGGATCTGTCAGTTTCGTTTGAAAACTGCATCCTGGCCTTAGCTGGTCCCACAAGCTCAATTCAGCGCTTACTCATGAATCTTGCTGCATCTCCGAATTCACTCATCTAACCAATCATAGACTTATAAAGATACCGGAGCACTGCCCCCCAGCTCCCCCTGGCTCCTCAGACACCAGAGATCCTATCTACGTTTTTACTTTAAAACACTCACGATATATTCCCCTGAGACTTTCTGATCTTTGGGTGCGATTGTAAAGCATTCTGACGAGATATCGTCGTTAAAAAACCTAGCGGGTAGTTCGAGCAGCGCGCGCGAAATATGTACGAGAGATGTGCGTGTTACAACTGACGCCACAAACAGGCGCTCATTTGGGCCAGACTGGAGAGGGCTTTTTCATCCACCTTGTTGCTTGTTGTGTTGTTGAAAAAAACTTGTTGCACCGATAGACATCATGGCAACTGCTCATGTTCTCTCGCCAAGCACGACCGGTGGCCCACCGGAGCCCTACCACGAGCTTGCAATAAAGGCACACCACTGGCACCCTGTCGTCGTCGCTGCCCCCGGCTTGCCGGTGATTGTCAACAGGCGGCTTCGTGAGGCCCAGCAGATGGCTGCAAGAATCATGGCATGCTTCTGTCGCTAACGCGGAGAAGATAAGATCGTGCGACACTCCGCTCCAAGAGCGCAGCTTAGATGCGCCCTGCGACACGACCCATGACATTTGAATGGACTTGCAAATGGGGTGCCGCATCGCCTAGCACCTTTATAGAAGGCGGCTCAGCTCTGACGCTCGAGAAGCGGCTTGTCCTTGCTTATTCCGGACACTGTCGTCTGCAAGTTAGGTGCTGGTGTTCGCAACAAGCCCGATGCACTTAGCGTTCGGAGGATATCGTCATTCTGAAGCACTCGGAATACATTTTCACATTGCACAACGCAGCGCGGTTATTAAGCATTTCCAGAGTCATGAACGTGGCGAACATTATTGTCAATCTTGATTCAATCGTTGTTATATTTGCAACTTGGACTTACTTACAGCCTCCAAAGTTGTCAAAATTGTAATGGTTGTCCTCCTGGCGACTCACAATCGCTTCATGTATTTTGCCTTTCTTTTTAAAAATCAACCCAAAACTTTTGAACGGATCTATTTCTGGAATCAAAGCTCAACCTAGGCAGTGCCTTTTGAGTGGGCCCTGACCTGTACTATTCCATCACGCAGTTCTACGCCAACGGGAGAATTAAGTGGCGTAATTATAACGTGCCGCAATGCTTGACACGGTCCGTTCTGGCTTCTGACGTCAACTGACCTTTAGCGTGGCCGCTGCCACCGACGAAGGCCATACCTGTCAAGGACAAATGACGAGCGAGGATGTAGGAACTAGCGTTACTCTGCCCACTCTGCCGCAGCGTGTCACATCACTCGCCGGCAATCGCACGCAGCGTGCAGGATCTGCTGGACTGCAGGAGCGTGGCGACGTTGCACAGATGAAATTGTTCGGCCTTATCTCAGGGCTGAAAACCGAAGCGATGTTTGGAAGTTTTTAGAAAGCACGTACACACCCACACCCACATCCACACATGCCCACACCCTCCCATACACCCACACCCATACACGTACCCACACCCACACTCACCCACCCACACCCACACCCACCCACACCCACCCACACCCACACCCACCCAAACGCACACACACACACACACACACACACACACACAACCACACACACACACACACACACACCACACACACACACACACACACACACACACACACACACACACACACACACACACACACACACACACACACACACACACACACACACACACACACACACGCACACACACACACACACACACACACACACGCAAGCACACACACACACATGTACGCGCGTACCCACATGCACACGCACACGCATACGCACACGCACACGCACACGCACACGCACACGCACACACACGCACACACACATACACACACACACACACACACATATATATATATATATATATATATATATATATATATATATATATATATATGTATAGAGCTGTATGTACATTACAAATCACAGCTAACCCAGCATTGATGATCTCCTTGGATGTTTTTTCGGTAAGTCTGATGAGAGTTTTCTATTCCTTTCGATGTTCGCTTAAAACGG